TATTAAGGACAAAAATCTCAAGTTTTTAACAAAATAATTGATAAAACAAAGATAAACTATATTTTCCCATTTAAGATAAACTATATTTTCCCACTAAAGTCGGAAAAAAGTGGCATTAAAACATTTATAAAATGCATATTCTACCTGTGGAATGAAATAGCAATTCCACTGTTCGATGTCACTCTCCAGACTCTTATTCGTACAGTTCTACGCCGCTCATTCGCGCTCAAGACTGTGGCATTGTAGTTTTTGATAATAAAAACAAAGTCAGGTGGGTGTTGCTCAATGTTTTAGCCAAATCAGAACGCTTTAAAACACTTCAAAACAGCCGAGAACTTCGCAGAACGCTCGAAAACTAATGTGTTTATATGGAAAAAAATTTCCCGCGTTTTTTTTTGCCCGCTTGTTCCGCCATCTTGGATTGTTCAAAATGTCACGCCTCGCGAGCTGAGTCGGCGATCTATACCTCCTATATCTATGATTACTCCCCTGGACGTCCGCCATTTTGAATATTTTCAGTGGGGTAAATGCCACTAAAACGCCCATGGCCCATGGCGTTAGCATTTTGATGACGTATTACGGTTACGCCAAAATCATTGGAAAATGATAGGGAAAACCAAGAAGTCGGGCTTCTGTATAATCTATTCTGTGACCTGATGCAAGACCTGAAAAACCTGATGAAGACCTGAAAGCTTTTGACATTTGGAACCTTCCGTTTGAACAAATTTTAATCTTGACATAAGTCTTATAACAGTAACAATTACACACGTCAGCATTTGCATTAGGTTTCTAGGTTATACAAACAATAAGAGCTTAAACGGAACTTAGAATTACTTGCTTACAATAAAAATCCCAGCATGCAAGATATCATACACGTTTTCGTCATCTGCTTTTGTTCTTCATCTATAGTGCAGTTTTACGACAGAAATTCGATGATAATAATTATTGTTACTACCAAATATTCATTTTCAAGTTCGGATGCGTACTCTTTTACCGTTTGATCCGAAATTTTCTCTAGTGGAACTTGTATACTGTATGTTATAAAGGCTATTCGTCGTATGAAAGATTTTACCGACTAGCCAGCAATGACGTAATCGATTATTCGATTGAGGCTATTATCGAACTACTGGTCAAACAGACCGAAATATCTTCAAAACAAAGACTTACTATTCAGTGAAAATGATTTAAAATAACTTGCATCGCAGTCCTGACATGATGAAGTGAAAGTTCATTTTCCGATGTCTTTTAAAAAGTTGAGATCCTTCCATACATTGCATGGCTGTCCCTGAAGTTATAAGTTCATGATCAACATATTAACAATTATTAAGACAAAATATGTCAGTATATTAATTGCGTCCGGCTCCGCTAGCTCACACTGGAATTAATATGGTGAGCTAGCCTAAAGATCTGCTCGAATTCGTTCAGATTTCATTTCTGCGAACGCAAGGAAAAATCTATATATAGTGCTCAATGTATCGAATTCGTCCTGTCCCGAAGGAACCGAGCCTTAATGTCTAAAGACATTAATTTATTAAAGACAATTTTCCACTTGAGACGAGGGGTTATAGCTTGTTTATTGGCAGTTATCTTCCTATATAGAGTAATTAAAATCATTACAAAGAAAATTGGAGTATTTTGAAAAAGTTCTGTACAAATTTCATCAGTCGTATTTTTCGTACAAGACTGTTTTGAATATGTATATGCTTATGAGAATGCACAAGTGTAAACTTGAATGACCATAATTATTGGAATGAAATATGAAAGAAACTGTCCAACGATGATTGCTTAGCGATTGGTATGTCTTTTAAGAAGTGAAAGCATATAACTGAAAGGAAGTCTTTAGTCTTAGGAGAGACGAGTTTAGGAATGTACTCATGAGAAGGGTTGGGCCGAAACTCGTTAAACTAAGTCTTTTTGTTTGAGTTCTTTAAAGCGAAAGAGATCTTATGGCTTTCCCACGGCAGGAACATGTTTCGAAATTTCGTCATATGCTGTAAAAATTGAAATCATCTCACAATAAAAGTCGACGCCTTCGGGTTATTCCTCGCAGTCGTTGCATCCAGCTAAGGCACTTAACATTAAGGACCTTATAATCATCTGCTTTGGCTGAAGGTAAGTTTCTATATGTGGAAAATAAATATCACATACATCATAAGTGTATTTATTCAAGAAGCAATATACAAAATATTATTATACAATTTAAAAGCTTGCACTGTTTCACTCATTCAACGTTTATTCAAAATTTAGATTTTGATCACTGTAGTGCATATATATAGGTGCATTGTCTGCTCCATGGGTACGTTCACAGATATGTTGTGACCAGCGGCGTAGTCAGCTCGATAATTCGGGGGGGGGATATTCATATATTCATGTTCACAGACTTTAACCGATTTCAAAAGAAATTAATACTGCAGAACACAAATATATGAATATGAACCTCCCAATTATCGAGCTGGCTACACCGTTGTGTTCTAGCACGAATTCTGATTTGGGGGCTTGCACTATTAGCGCGGCAGTCATTCAACGTTTCGGCCATTGGTCTGATGGTCAAATTGGTTTGTACTATGTCTTGTATTATGTGTTTCTGACATCACAGAGTTATACGCGTTCCCTTACACAATATGTTCGCTTATAGTTCGTTCAATCGTGATACATCTTCAATTTGTCACGCAGTTTGTAGTGGGAATAATTTCAGCATTGACAAGGTATTCTACTGTATAGTCCTATTTCATGTAGACAGAGGATGTTGTTAAATGTTAAGTTTATAAAAAAATATATATGTTCGTTTTGGTGTCTTCAGTAAAGATACCATAGGAGTCTCAGATTATTTAATTTATTGCCATAATGATATAGTCATTTGGGTAAAGGGCCAAAACAAAATATATATAATCAAACAGTTCGAGAAAGTGCTAGCGCGAGAGGAAATTCTTTGAGAAACAAAGTACCTGCACTCGAAACGTCGGAAGTTTATTCTTTTATTTTTCAGACGACGCGAATGACGAAAAGGTGTACAGCTATTCAAAGTGTTATACAGTGTTCGTACTGCGCGTACAGATTCTGTATATATAATACATAGGTTTAAAATACGTATAAATGTGGGATTGCAAATACAGTATTCACACAGATGCACGTAGATTTCAAGCAAATTAAGCAATCCGGCCTACTCTGTTTCATACTTAGACAATCTGTGTTTGCGAATAATAAAAATAAATGAGGAAATACTGAGTAATTCGTTTTCCTTGGCTCGCCAGATTTATCTTTTACAAGAATGTGATTGTCATTAGGCCTATACTCAATGGCATAATATATTACTCGGTCTCCGTTCATTAGCATTGCAACTTGTATTCAATGCAAGTTTTGCAACTTGTATTCAATTCAAGTTAATTTATTTTTTAGTGTTATAGCCAATATATAGGCCTAACACTGACAGAAGTCTTTCGTGAAATAATAAGCGGAAGAATACTGTCTAAAAATAAAGATTCTCAGTGGTTCCTGCGACTTCTGGCTATATAGGTATTCCACTAATGAGAAAATAAGTCGTTTTAATTTATACTATTTATAAAAATTTTTCAAACTATGCTGGAAAACAGGGATAAAATTTCACTGTTGTGCATGTTGCTATTCAACTGTAACTATATTAAGGCTTAGATGATGCAATTTTATATACATGAAAAATATAGCAGGAATATATATACTAATCAATATTTTACATTTTTCTTCTGACACTATAAAAACAGAAATCCGGAGATAATGCACCAGAGGTCCTATATCCTGCATGTATATTCTGTTATCTACTTTGTCGAGAACTAATTACTGCTATTTTTATACTCGATATATCTACTGTATTGTCGAAGCTTCCCTTCTGGAGAACAATACTGCATGACAACTATTCTTGTTTCGGTCTGGTCTCCATTTTGTCTCGATCGTCGTGATCAGGCCATTTTGCAAATAACCAATATCACGGACAGTGCCTTCGTTAATGTTGCGAACATGGGCCATATGCATGTATTTCAGCGAAATGATAATTTCACAATTCACATCTGATATATACAGAGCACTCTTCATGCCTGTATACATCCAGTGTAGGCTATATTGGAAAGGCATACAGTTTTTGACATGCATGTGTGTGCATGCCAAAATCCATATTATCCATTGACAACTAACAAGATAAACTGACTAACAAATCTACACTTGCTTGGGTAAAATTTACTCAATTTTCTTATCATTTTTGATGAAGTTTGGCCGGTGGCAGCTGTCCCCTTTCACTTTATGTGTTAGTATATGAAGGCAGTTTTTATACTCACTGTAGCGTAATAATTAATATTCCATTAAATCATCGCGATCAGGTAGGGACAGCTATAACTTTCCGGTGTGGGACCTATATGCGGTGATATTAAACTAAGCATGTGGTTTACCAGCTGATTGTCCAGGAAATGGAGATTTAGCTGATAGACACGAGGCTTTCTCCACGCACATGCAAAAGCGTGATATATAGAGTATAGACATTTGTTAAATATCCGTGAATGATAAAAACATATTAAATAGAAAAAAAGAATTGTTGAAGACTATCTATATACGCTGTATAGGAAAAATACCACATTTTGTGCAAAATAACTTTTTTCAACAAAACAATACAGAATTGAAAACCATGCATGCATGAGCGTTTTAAGATGATGTTAGAATGAGGCAATTCAAGGTCATATATATTAAAGTCATATAAAATGTTAATTTAATTTAAGCGGCATGCAACGGATGAGGCACTTGAATTCACAAGAGAATACTGAATATCGTTGTCAGAGGAAACACGTTCATACACTTGAAATATTCATGCATATATATATATATATATATATATATGTACTTAAGTTAAAAAGACACGCTAGAAATATATTAGAAACACTGTTTTGTCTTTTCGATTCCATTCATTAAACTTGAATTTTCCGCTGCAAGTAACATTAACCTTTCACAATGATTGTACAACAGATGTGATTGCTGTATTAATTTTAAATGACTCGAAGTATGGTTCCGGATTGGCAGATTTAGATTCTGTTTCCCCGTGTTGCATTTATTAACGTGAGTAAACTTAAAGAAAAGTTAAATTCTTATATCTGTGATAAATGACATGGCACAGCAAAATTAAGTGTATTACATTAACAATGGAGAACAGTAAATGTTGAATATATTTCAGTTCATTTGATCGTGCCATTAATAAACTTGTTCCATTCATAAAGTATAAATTTTCCCCACTATATACAGTTATACAGTATAATAGATTTTAACGGCTTCGTGTTTTTAGGCAACGAGAAATGGCAGATATGGAATTTTGTGGGCATAAATCGTATTTCTCTTCGACTCCTCATTATTTCTTTCCTAAATGTCAGAAGAATAATTTTGCATTACAGTTTTAACACGTCTAATCAAGGTTGATTATCATTATTGCCTAAACATATTTTGTAATTAATTACTGTATAATTATCATGTACATGCACTACAACGTGATTGAACGCTTCGCTTCTATAACTCTTAGATTTCTGACTTTTCCAAGTGGCTTGAATAAAAGTAATCAATCAATGACAGCAATGCCACGAATTAATTTATTCCAATTTATTGTGTATATTTATCTTTTATTATTTTAGTTAATATTTGACGGTTAAAAGTCATCCACGGACGGCAACAGTGATAAAGGACGACATAATTATTTCGTGATGAAAATGCTCGCATATTTAACAATCATCAGTCAGGTTTGTTTTTTATTTTTAGATTCCTTACTTTTATTTCATGATTGTTGTCGTTATAAATTAAATTATTTATTCAATAAATTACAGTTAGTTTGACTTAGTGAACTAAAACATGTTTAAGCTTGAAGATTCGCAAAATTCCCGTTAAAATTCATGGCTTGAAGAACGTATAGCTATATATATATATATATATATATATATATATATATATATATATATATATATATATATATATATATATATATATATATATATATATATGTTAGGTTGTGTAATTGTACACTCTGTAATATGTTAGGATGAAAATGTTCTAGAGTGTGTATTATATAATTTCCATACCCAGCGCAAGCAGAAAGACAACATCTTTCTGCTTGCGCTGGGTATGGAAATTATATAATAGACACTCTAGAACATTTTCATCCTAATATATATATATTTAAAAAATCATCAATAATTCAGGAGTGAAACACAAAGAAAAATCATAAGCGTGTCGTGGTTATATATGTGATATAAAATCATGTTAATTTACATAAACTTTAGCTTTGAATTTCTCGGT